CCCCTATATAGGACAAATTCTTGTGATCCGTCAAAATAGTAACCGGGTATAATGTCCCCTCCAACAAATGTCTCCATTCCTTTAAAGCCATAATGACCGCTAACAGTTCCCTATCACCAATGTCATATCTACTTTCAGGCCCAGATAATTTCTTGGAAAAAAACCCACATGGATGTAACGGTTTATCCAAACCTAGCCTTTGGGACAAGATAGCGCCTATACCTGTCTCCGAGGCGTCTACCTCGAGTAGAAAAGGCAAAGATGTGTCAGGATGAACTAATATCGGTGCTGAGGCAAAATGTTCTTTGAGTGTTTTGAAAGCAGAGAGAGCCTCTGTAGACCAAGTCTTGGTATCAGCACCCTGTCTAGTCATATTGGTAATAGGAGCAATAATAGAAGAGTAACCTTTAATGAAGCGCCTATAATAATTGGAGAATCCGATAAATCTCTGAATGGCCTTGAGTCCCCTGGGCAATGGCCAATCTAAAATCGATTGGAGTTTAATGGGGTCCATCCTAAATCCGTCTCCAGAAATAACGTAGCCAAGAAAGTTTATCTGAGATTGGTCGAAGCTACACTTTTCCAATTTGCAGTACAATCCATGTTGTAACAGTTTGCGCAGTACCCTTCTGACTTGTCTGTGGTGAGTCTCAATCTCTCTAGAGTGTATTAGTATATCATCCAAATATACTATAACGCATTCATGCTGAAATTCCCTAAGAACCTCATTAATAAGGTCCTGGAATACTGCAGGTGCATTGCAAAGCCCGAAGGGCATTACCGTGTATTCATAGTGGCCATAACGGGTATTGAAAGCTGTTTTCCATTCGTCTCCCTGCTGAATTCTCACCAAGTTATAAGCTCCCCTCAGATCTAACTTGGTAAAAATCTTGGAGCCTTTCAGTCGATCAAAGAGCTCAGTAATCAAAGGAATAGGATAAGCATTTCTAACAGTTATCTTATTCAAGCCCCGATAATCAATGCAAGGCCGTAGAGTGCCGTCTTTTTTATCTACAAAAAAGAAACCGGCCCCGGCCGGAGAAGAAGATCTCCTAATAAATCCTTTGTCTAGGTTTTCACGTATGTACTCCTCTAGGACTAAGTTTTCCTTAGTGGATAAAGGATATACCGTACCCCTCGGAGGCATAGTACCAGGTAGGAGTCTAATTTTACAGTCGAAAGACCTATGTGGAGGTAAAGTATCAGCCCTCTTTTTGTCAAAGACTGCCTTTAAATCCAGGTACTGAGACGGTATCTGTAAATCTGTAGATTGGGAAGAGTTAACCGGGGCGTCAACCATGCAAATCGGTGAGACTTTCTGTAAACATCCTCTCTGGCAACCCTGACCCCAGGAGACTATCTCACCCAGTTCCCAGTCAATGATAGGGTTATGCTTCTTAAGCCAGGGATACCCCAAGACTATAGGAACTGAAGGAGATGAGATCAGCATGAGGGATATTCTTTCCTCGTGAAGGATACCAGTGGTTAACTTAATTGGTATGGTTTCACGAAAAATAACAGGTTCAGATAATGGTCTACCATCTATGGCCTCAACGGCCAAGGGTGTATCCCTTAGCTGAGATGGGATAGAATGGTTAGTGACAAAGGCTTGGTCAATAAAGCTTTCAGCTGCTCCGGAATCTATCAAAGCCATAGCATTAAGTACTCCCTTTTCCCAAGCTAAAGAAACAGGTATCAGAAGCCTATGATCTTTATAATCATATATAGAGGACAAGATAGAAACACCCAAGGCCTGTCCTCTTGAGAAACTTAGGTGCGAGCGTTTCCCGGCCGGTTAGGGCAATTTAGGCGTAGGTGACCTCTAATTCCGCAATACATACAAAGCCCCTCCCTTCTCCTGTACTGTCTTTCCTCTTCTGAGAGTCGAGTATTACCTATTTGCATAGGTTCTGGGAGAGCTAAAGTAGTAGAATCAGAACTCTGAAATGAGGGAGCTAGTCTTATGGAGGATCTGCGGGTTCTATCTCGAATATTCTGCCTCTGTCTCATACGTTCATCTATTCGGGAAATAAATGAAATCAAATCCTCCAAATTTTCAGGAAGATCTCTTGTGGCCACCTCATCTAAAATCTCATCAGATAACCCGTTCATAAATACGTCCATATAAGCCTGTTCATTCCACTTGACTTCTGCCGCCAAGGATCTGAACTCTAAAGCATAATCCACGAGGGTTCGGTTATACTGTCTAAGACGTAACAGTAGTCTAGCTGCATTGGCCTTTCTTCCTGGGGGGTCAAAAGCTCTCCTAAATGCAGCGACAAAAGCATTATAATTGTAAACTAACGGGTTATCATTTTCCCACAGGGGGTTAGCCCATCTAAGTGCCTTGTCAATGAGCAAGGTGATTATAAATCCAACCTTCGCCCTGTCAGTAGGGTAGGCGTGGGGTTGTAACTCAAAATGAATACCTATCTGGTTTAAAAAACCTCGACAAGTGTCAGGAGCGCCGCCATAGCGTGACGGGGACGTAACACGGGAAGAAGTAGCCACTGTGGCTACCTCTAGGCCTGTACTTATAGGAGAGATAGATGGGGTACGCATCTCCTCTGAGTGATTACTAGGACGAGATAGCAATGCTTGCAGAGCTAGAGCCATCTGGTCCATTCTATGATCCATGGCCTCAAATCTAGAGTCAGGAGAACCGACCTGAGAGTTTGTACCTGCAGGATCCATTGGCCCTGTCGTAATGTCAGGATCGTGACAGGGATCCAACACGCAGAATACAAACAGGAGATAGGTACGTATACCGGACCTTAGAATGGCCGGACTAACGTAAGGAGAAAGCAAAAGAATGGTCAGAGACAAGCCGAGGTCGAGGGAACGAGAGATAGGTAAGCGAGAGACAAGCCGAGTCAAAAGGACAAGAGAGGAAAGCAGGGTCAAAAATACAAGCCGAGTCAGGAACCAAAAGACAATAGAGGTAAGTGCACTGAGTGACCAGACTAGCTAGAACCACGACAGGGCAATGAATCATTCCACAGAACCCTTTTTTATACCTTGGCTCTTTAACTGTTGGCTCCGCCCCCAACGAGTCCTGATTCGTTGTTCGGCACTTGGTTGCCGTGATTGACGGGTCGGAACGTGATTGCCGTCATGACGTCGGCTACTGAGCGCCGCGTCATAAAAGGAGGCGGAGCTATCGCGGCCGGCGTGTAAACGGCCGGGAGGAGTGCAAGGATCGGATGAGTCAGCCCCCCTAGGAGGATGGACGTCTAGGTGTCTAACCTCCTCCGAGGTAGACACCAAAGGTAACCTGACAGAATCCACCTTTTGAAATCTACTGAGTATTATAAGCTTTAATTTTCTCTCTTCTTATGCAATGTATACCCTTATGGGCAGCAGTTACTGTTAGAGAGACTGGGCTATATGAAGCTTATACTGATAATACTTCTCTGTAGATGGATATGTCTCCTGTTGTCTAAACCAGTTAGCATTTACGCTTGGTAACCACTTTCCTGGAATAGTGACTACGCTCTTTTCTCCCTTTGGTCTCACTACTGCTACTAGGCAACATACATATCCCTATCATTATTAACTTGGGATTATTGTCAATTTTTGTTGACATATTTATTTTGTTGCCTCATAGAAAGGGCCTCCTTAAATATACACTCATAGGAAATCTATATTTATATATATATAGTATCATGCTATTTTGATATTACTCCATATACGAGTAGTATACCTTAATCTATTTTGGAGGAAATTTTTTAACTTTCTAATAAAGATTGATACATTTTTTCTTTCCCTTCCCCTCAGCCTATGTTACATTGACTTTAGGAGGTATATATTAGTGAAGGAGAATATACTCCGTTCACTATTTGTGAGGGTTTTTTTTCCGTCCACTTCTTTCTTTGTTTAAATATCGGTATCTTTATACCGATCGAGGGGCCGGCAGCAAGCTCTTACTTACCTTTCCTGCAGCTCCTCCAGCTCCTCAGTGTAAATCTTGTGAGTGCAACACCATGGCACGCAGACCGCAAGATTTACACAGGGAGCAGAAGGGAGCTGCAGGAAAGGTAAGTAAGAGCTTGCTACCGGCCCCCCACTGCCCACTACATGCCACTAGACCACAAGGGACTGCTAAAGCCCCCCTTTCAGACCAAGTATGAAACAGGGAGGGGGGACAAAAAAAATATTAAAACTACATTTTAATAAAAAATGCCCCTCCCCCCCCCCATTTTACACAAATTACATCCCTTCACAAACACACACACTATACAAACACACACACTCTGCATTATATACACACTACACACACACTCTGCATTATATACAAACACACTGCATTATATACAAAGACACACACACTTTGCATTATATACAAACACACACACATGCTGCATTATATACACACACTACACAAACACACACACACTCTGCATTATATACACACTATACTAACACATACACTCTGCATTATACACACACACTACACAAACACACACACCGCATTATATACACACACTACACAAACACACACACTCTGCATTATATACACACACTACATTCACTATACACACTACACAAACACAAACTCTGCATTCACTATATACACACTACACAAACGCTCACTGAATTCCCTATACACACTACACTTTCACTGCCTTCACTATACACACACACAGCTCCCCTGTCTAAACACACTGCATCCACTACATGTGGCATGTATATTTTGTGCATTTACCTTTAGAAATAGTTTATTTTTTCAAAATGTACAGAATATCGGCAAGTTATCGGCTATTGGCCTGAAAGTTCACAGATTATCGGTATCAACTCTAAAAAACCAATACCTACCTAAATAATAGACATACCACCTTACCATCAAGACCTTCTGCAATATCACTATTTCATAAGATCTTGATGGTAAGTTATGTATTTTTGCTGATGATACATGTGAAATAAATACTTTTTGGAAGTCTGTGAGTTTAGATGCAGATATCATTGATGTCAATGCCGGCCTCTCTTATGTACAAAGCTGGTGGAAACACATGCTGATTCTGGCATGCAAGCTTCAGATGGAACCTGGGACCCTACCAACATTATGCACTTTGTCTCGAGAACCTGTGAAATGAACCGTCCGACAGCCTGAATAAAATGGGATAAAGCAATGGTCCGGAGTTGCATGCACTGTCCTTATTGATAATCTGCATATAATGTTTCTGATTGCCTTACCTGGGTTGAGTTTTTTTCCCAATTGACATGGATTCCTGTTTTACATTTATTTTATGATTAAGCATCTCGTATAGCTGTTACCACCTATGTCTGATTTAATACTCTTTAAAGGGTAATGCATTTTGGTGAGATATTAATGACATTGCACACTACTGGCCAGATACAACATCATCAAATCTGCATTCTACTCTCTCATATTAATTTCATGCTACTCAGATGTATTTAGCATCTTACTAATGCAGTGGTCTTTAGTAGCGATGCTATGATTTATTCTACGATTTATTGTTAGATATTACTCCAGTTCTCTGATTATATACCACCACCTTATGTCCACAATGTCATTTTATGTGTAGTGTGTTTTTAGCCTGGGCACTGTACCATTCCTCCTGTAACCATTGACCTTTTTTAATTTTATTTTTTATTATGAGCATTACCATGTCCTGTTTGACCTACTCTCACGCATTCATCCCTCTGACATGTTTAAGCATGCTTTTATTATCAATAAATAAATAAATTGTGCAGTTGTATTCTACGTCATATTATTGTTTACTTGATTCAGCCAGTCTGTGCTGGGGTGGCAAGTTGGGCCTGTCTTGTTCTCGCATGTCAAAAATAAAGAATTAAAAAAAAAAAAAAAAGTAAGATTCACTTGGAATTTTCATTGCATTGTCACTTTAGTCACTAACCCTCTTTGTGTTGTGGGAATTATATTTCTGGTATAAAATAGTGAGTGTCTCTCCCACACACGGACACTTATCTCCAGAAAAAGCTGCCTGTAATGCTGTTCCCCCGCCCCGTGGGTGGGTGCTATTTCGGAGTGTAGCTCGGTTTCCTTTCCCCCTCCTGTTCGCTGTGGCTCACTCTTTGTTTATTGCGGAACCTTCGCGCTCTCCGGCCGAGCTGTGAGGAAGGTTATCTGAGCGTTCCACGCCATTTCCGGTCCGGGCAACTTTCGAAGATGGAGACTATGCTGGAGCAGCAACGCCGCTACCATGAGGAGAAAGAGAGACTCATGGACGTTATGACCAAGGAGATGATGGCTAAGAAAACCACGGTGAGCCCCCGGGGGGAGTGAAGGGGGAGCACCGGGACATGCCGGCAGCCGGCCGCTGCTGTGGGTGCTCTGAGCGGGGAGCTCACACGGGGGGCTGGGGGGGGGATGCACTCTGTCACCCGCTTATAACCAGTCCGTGTGAGTCCAGCAGGTCTACAGGACACCGTCCGCTCTGAGCTGGAGTCAGTCACATGGCTAAACCACTATAGATATACTATTATTATTATTTATATAGCGCCAGCAAACTTTAGCCAACTGTGATCTTAGGAATCAAACTTCATAACGTATAAATTAGGGGAAATGATTTCACCCTCCCAACAAAAATTAAGGTTAAAAAAATCATTTTAACTATTTTTTTAAAATTTTTTTAGTTACTTGCGTGCACAGCTGGATGGGACAGTACTGCTGCTGCATGCAGAGCCCTTTCACCCTATAAAAAAAAGCAGTAGCATCTATCTCCTTTTTAGTTTGTAGGGACTGATTTTATACCATAATCCTCTAATCAAACAAATTGTGGTATAATTCATTTATCCACAATAGAGCAGTTACAGTTATCACATAGGATGATCAGTAACCTGATAGCAGCCATACTAAAGTGTATACCAGTTTATAGTCTAGTTCACTGTTTAGTGAATTGGCCTGTGTTTGGGTTTCGTACTAAACATTAGTATGGGAGGGTTCTCTCTCACCTTCCACCTTTTTGGTGTGATTAATGCTGCCATATGCACACACAGTAAGGAGAAAATTGACACTGGAAATGTGGATCTAAGTTTTCCAGCCTGTCTGGCAATCCCATGAGACCGTTATAACTTTAGATCAATTCAGCCATTCCAATGCTTTGCCATAGAAAAGATTTCGGAAGCTAGTGTGCATGCGCAGCAAAGCACTATTCCGATTAGATGACATCTCTTACTCTATTTCATAAAAGTGCATCTAGTGACTGTTCGTATGTCAGCCACTAGAGAGAGGTTAAAGGATCACTATAGTGTCAGGAAAACAAACTTGTTTTCCTGACACTATATCATCCTTAGGACCCCCCACTCTTGGTGCTGAAGGGGTTAAAATCCCTTCAGCTACTTACTTTAATCCAGCGCTGGTGACTAGGGATCGACCGATTATCGGTTTTACCGATATAATCGGCCGATATTCGGTATTCTCGGCAATATCGGTATCGGCCAATTCAGATACCGATATTGCCGATAATACCTCCTAGGACTGCCAGGCTCATTACAAGCCCGGCGGTCCTGGGGGGGGGGCAGAGAGCAAGCGCTTACTCACCTCCCAGCAGCTCCTCCAGCTCCCCAGTGCAACTTTCGCGAGACCCGCGGCCGTCAGAGCGTTGCCATGGATCACCATGGCAACGCTCCGCGCGACACGCTGGCCGCGAGAGTTACACTGGGGAGCTGGAGGAGCTGCTGGGAGGTGAGTAAGCGCTTGCTCTCTGCCCCCCCACAGTGTGTGTGTGTTTGTGTAGTGTGTTTAATGCAGTGTGTGTGTAGTGTGTGTATATAATGCAGTGTGTTTGTGTAGTGTGTTTATATGTGTTTATATAATGCACACTACACAAACACACTGCATTATATACACACACTATACAAACACACACACTCTGCATTATATAAACACACTACATTCACTATACACACACTACATTCACTATACACACACTACATTCACTATACACACACAGTCTGCATTCATTATATACACACACACTTTGCATTTAGTATATACAGCATTCACTTTACGCACACTACCCACACACTACACAAACACACTGCTTTCATTATATACACACTACACTAATACACACTGCATCCACTACACACACTAGACAAATACACACTGCATCCACTACACAAACACACATTGCATCCTCCACACACACTACACACACACAATGCATCCATAACACACACACTACACAAACACACACTGCATCCACTACACAAACACACACAGTTCCCCTGTCACACTGCATCCACTACACGTGGCATGTATATTTTGTGCATTTACCTTTAGAAATAGTTTTTATTTTGGTAAATGTACAGAATATCGGCAAATTATATCGGCTATCGGCCTGAAAGTTCACAGAATATCGGTATCGGCTCTGAAAAATCAATATCGGTCGATCCCTACTGGTGACCTCTCCTCCCCCGCCGACGTCAGCTCCCGAGTGGACTGGTATGCGCGCTAAGCGCCGCACGCGCGCATTCAAACAGTCCATAGGAAAGCATTATATGCATTATATAAACACACTACATTCACTATACACACACTACATTCACTATACACACACTACATTCACTATACACACACAGTCTGCATTCATTATATACACACACACTTTGCATTTAGTATATACAGCATTCACTTTACGCACACTACCCACACACTACACAAACACTCTGCTTTCATTATATACACACTACACTAATACACACTGCATCCACTACACAAACACACATTGCATCCTCCACACACACTACACAAACACACAATGCATCCACAACACACACTACACAAACACACACTGCATCCACTACACACACTACACAAACACACACAGCTCCCCTGTCACACTGCATCCACTACACGTGGCATGTATATTTTGTGCATTTACCTTTAGAAATAGTTTTTATTTTCCAAAATGGTAAATGTACAGAATATCGGCAAATTATATCGGCTATCGGCCTGAAAGTTCACAGAATATCGGTATCGGCTCTGAAAAATCAATATCGGTCGATCCCTACTGGTGACCTCTCCTCCCCCGCCGACGTCAGCTCCCGAGTGGACTGGTATGCGCGCTAAGCGCCGCACGCGCGCATTCAAACAGTCCATAGGAAAGCATTTCCTATGGACGTTCTGCACGCTGGATGCAATTTTTCGCATCCAGCGTCGCAGAAGTGCCTCTAGCGGCTGTCAGGAAGACAGCCACTAGAGGTTGGATTAACCCTGCAATGTAAACTTAACAGTTTCTCTGAAACTACTATGTTTACATATGAAGGGTTAAAACCTGGGGGACCTGGCACCCAGACCACTTCATTGAGCTGAAGTGGCCTGGGTGACTATGTCCCTTTAATCCTGCAAAGAAAACATTGCCGTTCCTGCAGAAATTAATAACAATTGTGAGCACCTACTTTGAAGAGTTTCCCTGCTATTTACCATCATTAGCTATAACTCATGATCGACGATTGGGATTTCACATATTGCACAGTAGTTGTCTATGGATCTGGGTTGTAACTAAAATGAGAAGTTCAAGTTTAAAGCTAAAGGAGCTGAACTGGAAGCATAGCTGAATTGGAGAATTTTTCTGGTATGGCTATTTTGACTTTAAATTCCCACTTAATTGTATGGAGGCACCTAGTGCTTTTGCAGCTTTTGGCAAATTAAAGGCCATTAACTGAAGAGTAAAATGTGAACACATTGCCTTTGGTTGGGCTATAAATGCAAAAAAAAAAAAAGTGATAACCGTGCCACTTTTAGTCCTTTGCCATGTGCTCATGTTCATCTGGGAATCACATTTCTCTTCCAATTAAATGCTTTCTGGTTTGCTCCTATAGAACCTATGGATCCCTTTGTGCCACAAGAAAAATAATCTCCCCCAATCCACTTCATCTCTTCACTACACAATACAACCAGCAACCACCCCTTTACTCACATGGAACTCAAATGCTCTTCTGACATGCACACTCTGATTAATAGGGAGCACAAGAACATCATATTTCATTTCACTGATTTACATTTTATTGTAACACAGTCTGCTTCATAAGGTAGCAAATCTTGTTCTCTGATATATATGCTGATACATTGTGAAATCTTCTTATTTCTCTTGTAATGAGCAATTTGATATGTTGTTTTGATAAATGTCTGAATACCATAGAGTATTTAGACCTTTGGACATTTCAAAACAAAGTAGTTGAAGAAATTGCTGCAAATAGTATTCACAGACCAATTGTTTTGTGTCTTTTACATTAAGACCTTGAATATCCACTTTTTTCCATTTTGTTCTTAGTTTTAATTATAAATATCAATTGTTGGTATATTCTGTGTAGGTAATGTTTGCTTATTTGCTGTATGTGTGCGTAGTTATGTGCATTTACCATTATAATACAATGTGCCTGTGCCATGCAGTTTCCTTAATAACTATTTTGTTCTTTAGTTACGAGAACAGATTAATTCAGACCACAGAGCCAGAGCAATGCAAGATGTAAGTATTTTATTTCCTCCCCTTGTTATTCCCAGCTTAATTATAAGGCATAGATTTGAGTTGTATCAAACCAATGAATACACTAATATGTTTTTTTTTTTTTTATTTGCAGCGATATATGGATGTCAGCTCAAATCTAAGAGATTTGTATGAAGATAAAGATGGGTAAAACAATATTTTTTTAATCATTAAGCTAAAGAAAACTAGTTTATTTTAAAGTCCATTATTTTTAATAACTTAAAATGTATACATTTGTCATCTCCTGTTTTATATATGTCTATACCCTATATTTTAAATATGTTTATAATGTGCATTTTTCAACATGGTGACATTTAAGAGTTGCATGGATTTAAATTGTATTTTTATCTATAACAAAAAAGGCTTTATCTCTCCAGGCTTTCACTGTTTATTCTAAAATTGTGGTACTTTCTTACCTTGCAAACGGGTCTGTCTGCAAGTATAAATGAAGATATTCATGTTTACATGATATACTCTGAATCTACTTGCAGTGTCTAACAAATTGTGATTATTTGTATTTATATATAGAATACTTTTTACTGGTTTAACTGACGTTTCTATGTAATATGTTTTTATGTTGAAAACAGCGTTATTAAAATAGATGTAATGATTTTCATTCCAGACTGAGGAAGGAAGAGCTGAATGCAATTTCAGGACCAAATGAATTTGGAGAATTCTACAACAGATTGAAACTAATCAAAGAATTTCACAGGAAACATCCAAATGAGGTGTGTTGATTTTAAATCATTGCCCACACTAAGATGAATATTTAGATCTGCAGTATACCAAATTTAAAACACATTTAGTTCAGTGTCAGAACTCAAGTTTGTTAGAAATAGCACAGTTATATCCAATTATTCCTAAAAAAAAAATAATAATAATTTTATAGCTATAGAGAGTAGCTATTCATGCAATGTTAAAAAGCTATGCTACATGATGAACAGTACCCAATGAAAGATCAGGAAAGATTTAAGCCCTGGGCTGTTTCAAATCATATGACTGCATTTGTTATGCTACTGCTGTTAAAGACAGTCCTCTCACAGACCAGCTATCTAGTGCTGTGTTTCTACACCTCGCGTATATGTAGGTATGGACCCTGATAAAGTGATCTCATTATTTATATAGCATTGTTGAGAATCTATGTCATAGATCCGCGTAGTAAAAAATCTGACCCTTAACCACTAGTTTATAATTCCTATGAACCACCAAAACTCAGTGATTAGTAAGGGTTCTTGGAAAATTTTCTCAACCTAGGGTTTTTTAATGCGAAAACCCATTTTATAAATGGAAAGATTAGTAAGCAATATAATTATATGCAATATCCCTGTGGTATGACAAACATTGTATTTGTTTTTTAAAGATCTGTGTACCCATGTCCGTTGAGTTTGATGAGCTTCTAAAATCCAGAGAGAATCCAAGTGAAGAAGCACAAAGTAAGTAATTGACAAATGACACACCAATTGTAAATCCCCAGTTATAATGAGATGTGGATCAGAACATTCGCTTATTATATTTAAAGTGGTACCATTGATTTAGAAAAAGGTAAATCATATTTCCATTTTATCAATTAATACACCTTTTTTATCACAATGCCTTACTGGCACTTGCAACTGCTGACTTTGAAGAGTGTTCACAAGTCTTTTTATCTATATGTCTTTCAGTAATGCTTTACCACTTAGGCTGTAAGTTGCTTGTGTGTTTATCGCAAAATGCACACATTTGAGTTTATCTACATTAAATCGCATTAGTTCATCTAGATGTGTGTCTAGTGCAACTAGTTGCACGTGGCTTTCAGTGCTTTCCTGGGATCTGTTACCCATTGAGACAAGTTATTAATGTCAGATTTGATTTTTTTCCTTGTTCACAGATTTAGTAGAGTTCACAGATGAAGAGGGTTATGGCAGATACCTTGATCTACATGATTGCTATTTGAAGTACATTAATTTGAAATCATCAGAAGTAAGCATGCTAACATTCCTTTATTTGTGCACAATTATCCCTCCTGTTGCATTTAAAAAAAAAAAAAAAATCTGTTGTATTCACCCAAGTTTATGGCTAGGCTCATGTTGTCCCTTCTGCATTCTTTTCTTTGACATGCTAAATAAAGATGCCAATGCTTTTCCTTTTGTCTGTGTTAATGTGTAATTATCCTGCTTTCAAAAAGTTGTGGATACAACAAACATATTTGTTTAATAGATATTTGCATGATAGATTCCAATATATCAAATGTATACACATATACCCCCAATTTTGAGTAATACGGAACAGAAATAAGTAAGCGGTTACGATTAAAATAAATAAATATAGATAAGATTTTTTTTATTTTTATTTTTTTGGTACCCTGAAAAATCTTCTATTGTTTGTACTTATTTGATGTTGCATTTTCAGAAATTGGATTACATCACATATTTATCAACCTTTGATCAGCTTTTTGATATCCCCAAAGAGAGGAAAAACGCAGAATACAAAAGGTTCGTATTAAATAGTAAATTTTTCATTGCACTTGTTAGAAATGGCTAGACAAAGAAAATTAACATTTAAAAGAATATGCACCACTTTGAGACAACTCTTATTCAAAAGCTTTAGCTTTGAGACAGTTGCTTCATTCTGCAAGCTGGGAAAAAAGCATATTATTATTTTGTATTTATATAGCGCCATCAAATTCTGTAGCGCAAGATAGATAGAGATATATATATATATATATATATATATATATATATATATATATATATATATATATATATATATATATATATATATATATATATATATATATATATATATATATATAATAATGTGTTATTTTGTATATTTACTAGGGATCGACCGATATTGATTTTTGATTTTTTAGAGCCGATACTGATGATATGTGAACTTTCAGGCCGATAGCAGATAACTTGCCGATAGTCTGTACATTTACCATTTTGAAAAAATAAACTTTTTCTAAAGGTAAATGCACAAAATATACATGCCACATGTAGTGGATGCAGTGTGTTTAGACATTGGAGTGGTGTGTATTTGTGTAGTGTGTGTGTGTGTATATAATGAAATGCAGGGTGTGTTTGTGTAGTGAGTATAGTGTAGTGAATATAGTGTGTGTGTGTTTTTAAGGCATTTTTTTTTTTTTTTATATGGTTAATTTTTTTTGTCCCTCCTCCTCCCTGCTTGTTTGTGATTTACCTAACCCATTATTATTTATTATAGGGTTAATGTTGGGTTATGTTTAATGTAGCAGGCTGCTTTGAGAGTCCTGTGCGAATTATAAGGACTTTTCTCACTATTCCTATTGGCTTAGCTCCTTACAATGTGTGAAGCTGTTTACTTTCAATTTTTGTTTGACCTTAGAATTAATGCATCTATTTGTACATGCTATCAAGGCATAACAATAGTCACCAGGTGCAGGTATTTTATTCTACTATTATTTTTATTAATTACTAGGCTATTGCATTCCCTGGTGGTGCAGTGGGGGGCCGGCAGCAAGCTGTGACTTACCTTCCCAGCTGCTCCCTGTGTAAATCTCGCTGCCTGCTTGCCGCGTGGAGCGTTGCCATGGTAGCCTGTGGCAACACTCTGCGGCCGCGGTTCTCGCGAGATTTACACAGGGAGCGGAAGGGAGCTGCTGGGAAGGTAAGTCACAGCTTGCTGCCGTCCACCCCAGGAACGCTGTGCTTGTAATGGGCCCAGCAGTCATGGTATATGTTATTGGCAATATCGGTATCTGAATTGGCCGATACCGATATTGCCGAAATTACAGAATATAGGCAGATAATATCGGTAAAACTGATAATCGGTCGATCCCTAATATTTATTGCTTCTTCCTTCTTATACTATTCACACCCACACTGTGGGACACTAATAAAACCAATCAGTGTCCTATCCATAGAAATACTGGAATAGTTCATTGTGTATGTCTGACAGATTTACACTTGTTCAATTCACATTGCAACATCCTGACAGGAGAAAGAGAAAGTGTCTGATTAGGTTGATTCATGCAGAGCAGTGTCTGGTTTCTCTCTCCTGCTGCTGCACAATGATGCCCTGTTTATTAGATAACTGATCCAATACTCTAATCGGTGTGGAATGGAAAAGGTGGGAAGCTGAAGAAACTCACCCAGCTGAGAGGTGTTCACAACAATACAGTCTAACCAAGTTTATTTCATACTTTTCAAAGTTTTTCTTGATTTTGTTTTGTAGATTTGTTTAAAAGTTTGTTGGTTTAAAAAAAAAAAAAAAGTCTAGTGATGTATGTCCCTTCAAATATTTTTCGTTTTACCACGGACCTTCTGCACATGTGGCATTTTTTTTTTATTTTATTATTATTATTATAATACTGCTTAGGTACTTAAGTTTTTTTAGGTACACAACCATCATTCTTGTTCACTTGCATATTCTTTCCATATACATATCAAACAAATATGAAACAAAGATTTATTGCAGTACTGTTGCCCCCTCTTTATGAAATATGCCGTATTGTCTTATTGGAAGTTCGCTGAAATTTCAAGCCAGACAAAAAATATACTGGGACACAGTAGGGGACTACTTTGTCTCGCTATTTTTCGTACACTTGACACTAGTGGGAGCTATCCTCGTCGGCAAGTGTTTATCCCTTGACAGCTGCAAGGAAATGGCTCTATCTATGGAGGATCCTTTAGCATCCTCCATAGCCGCCTCTGTTGTACTCTCACGCATCCATGAGAGTATAGCAACAATGTCATCTCCTAGTACCAGAAGCAGAATAGGATAGTGGAGCTGCAAGGGATAGGTTCAGGTAAATAGAACTCACCTTTACCACAATAGTATTATAGAAAGTATAATCCCAATCTGAAATTGTTGTTTGCATTTGCTTATCCTGTAGTAAATGAAGAACTATTTTACTTTTCTAAATATTTCTACAGGTACTTGGAAGGTGTTCTAGAATACCTTCAAGATTACACAGACCGGGTGAAGCCGCTGTTGGACCAGAATGAACTCTTTGGGAAGATACAAGCAGATTTTGAAAAGAAGTGGGATAGTGGGACATTTCCAGGCTGGCCGGTAAATTTCAGCATCAACTTCAGTTGAATTTGTATTTGTTTACAGCTTATGAGAGTTGGTAATACATTAGAAACCACATGAAAAGTCGCAAGATGCACCCAATTGTCCCGCACTTTCTTAAGATTTGGGAGCAGCTTCTGCAAAGCTACAGGTTACTTAGTGCTGTATGCAAGCCACTAGTTGGTGGAAACTATTTTTTTTTTTTTTTTTTTTTCCTCAACAGAACACATTTTAGTGTGTGATAAATTTGTACTTATATATTGTATAAGTGGAGCTAGTTACAGGGACTGTCTTTCACCATAAACACCCTTATGATCCTTTTAATATATTGTCCTTAGCATATGTTGTCTGCAGTCTATGATGGGTAAGTTGGAAGCTGTAGTTATATGTGTAAGTGCAGTTAAATGGGTGGTTCCTGTTCATTTTGTGTATAGTTTGCTGTTGGAATTGTGTGACAATTGGTTATCTGAAATGTTCTAATACTAGTATATTTTCTCACTTGCAGAAAGAGACAAGCAGTGCCCTCACTCATGCTGGAGCTCATTTAGATCTCTCTGCCTTCTCTTCTTGGGAGGTAGGTACATTGACAAGTTAATCTGGTGCATGTACACCACAAACATACTGGCACTTTACTTGTTAATTGTGACTCAAGTTGTGCCTTGTAACAACTTAAAATTATATACCAGAGCCCCAAATCTTCCCATGTCATCAATATTTCACTAACCACTGTCAAGTGAGAATTAAGTGTCATTGACCCCTTTTACACACAGTGCTGTTTGAAAGCAGCAGTCTATTGTAACAGTGGAGTTATATCTGATATTAGTGGCTGTTATAAGGGGGGTAAACCAACTAATGTACCACACTATCATGAGTTTAAAGAGTGTAGACATCTGATGATCCACCACCAACCCTCACAGGCACTACTAAGTTCAGTACTTCAGACTCCTAGAGAGGCTGATTATAAGTGGGTTACATCAAAAGTAGACTTTCTTTTCCTCAATTAGTCACAGTGAATTACTTTTTAAAAAAGCAAATCATGTATTACATGATTTAAAAATTACATTTTGCTAGTAGCAGAGAAATGGAAATTTTGTGAAATAAGTGTGTGTGTGTGTAATATATAGGTGACATGGATTGTGTGTGTGTGTGTGTGTGTATATATCTGAATGATAGCACTCCAAGGACTAAAAAAATTAATTTGTGGTCTCCTGTCTTTAATATGAAACAAAAGCAGAAACATGTGTTCTTAAAGGGATATTCTAAGCAACAAAACAGTTTTAGCTCAATGAAGCTGTTTTAGTGTATAGCTCAGGGATCAACCACCCTTTTTGCATATGGGCTGGATGCCAAGTCTGTATTTGCAAAGAGGGCCACATTCATCTTCATAGCTAAAATTGTAATATATTAATAACAATAGACACAGGAAACAAGCTCATTTATTAATGCTCATCTTTCAGCAGTTTAGTAGATGACCCCCTAATTTTGTTTCCTTATGTGAGATTGCCATATATAAGGATGCCAAATTAGAGAACTCTCTACTAAACTGCTGACAGATCAAAATAAAAAAGCCCCTTTCTTCTCGACATGACTCTTCCTCTTCTCATCCATGTCACCTATAAATTTTGAATATATACAGTTTTAGCATGACTGTTAATTTTCAGAACATTTAAATATCCCGCACAAAGCCATACATATAAACATGCAGTAATTCAGAAACAGTACTGCAAAAACATACACTGACTCATAGAGACACACATACTCACAGACACACATACAAACAGTCGTACAATGTGTGTGTGTGTCTTTGCTAGTTTTTGTGTCCTCCTTTATGAATTGAATTGTAACGACACACAGGAGGCTCCTGCAGGCTATTAACAGAGCAATAGAGAAGAAACTGTGCAATAAGGGAAGTTTATACATTAGATCTTTTTGCAAGAAATGTGTTGGTAGACTCGATATGTCACATACAGGAGAGGTGTAGCTAGGGCTGCATAAACAAAGTGGTTTAACTCCCTAATGGCAGATAATTGAGCAGTGATACTGCTGGGGCATGGTCTATACACCAAAACCACTCCATTAAGTTTAAGTTGTTTTGCTGCTTATAAAGTGTCCCTTTAAATATTCCAGACTTGGTCAAACAAATGCATGTGTTTATCTTCGTACCTTGGTAAAATCCAATGTTACAATTTTACAATAGTTTTTTCATTTTTATAATTTTTTATGAACTTTGAGCATTAAAGTGGCACTTTAAGCAAGCAGTGGTGCTTATGGTGCCATGGTCCCTTGCAGCCATCTCTCTACTAAGAGCCCTGCTGTTTTCAAACGATCTGACATACCACCACTATTGCTGAAGCAAACGTTCTGCTTAATCTTTAGAAATATCAATTCAATCCATCATTGCATAACACTTGTTGGCTAAGTGTCAGTTGACACTGCTTAGCCATAAAGTTCTGTCCAAAGTTGGGAAAAAAATGTTTTTCTACAGGGGAAGGGGAATCTTAACTTTAGTGATATATGTGAAAAGAAGCCAAACCATTGGGCCTCAGGTACATGTTGGTTCGAAAACATGATCTGTAGTAGCAGGATGGTGCAAAGAGTGGTTAAGGTGCATGCCCATTTAACTTAACTATCACATTGCGTAATACACATTTTTACGCTGTATATTGTTTTTGTGGTGGTGCAAGTCCATTAAAATCTTGATTGAGTTCCCTTCAAGGCTTGTATGTTAAAGATAGTTTTGTTTTGGTCATTCTCACATCAACCTTTATTTGGTAGTAATGGTGAAATATCCTAGCCCAGCTAGGGTAAGCATGTCACCTTCGATTACTGAGTGCTTGCAGCATTTCTTGTTTGTAACATTTGATGTATTTGTGGTGTGTTCTACACTGAACAGTTAGGGCAAAGTTACAAAATGTGTTTAAGGGGATTTTTTTCTTTTTATGTCCATGGCAGGAATTGGCTTCTCTTGGATTGGACAGGTTAAAATCTGCTTTGATGGCTTTAGGATTAAAATGTGGAGGGTAAGTAAATATTTTCATCAATACTATCTATGTTCAGTTTAAAACTACTACTTCCCAGCTAATGATGTTTGGCATGCTCAGAATGCTGCTGTAACATGTATGTGTCTACGATATAGACACATGTGTTTGTGTATGTAAATCATAAGTGCCAGAACACGACCTTCTCAAACACTTTACACAGTGCCTGCCCTTGCAGAGCAACCCATAATCTGTGAAGATAGCAGCCGTGTAACAGTCAATTGGATTGTGTATATGATGTGTGTAAAGTATCCATGTGACTATATTTGTATAAGACTTATGTCATGCAGCGTTAACCATCAGTTGTGCTACAGAAGGACAGCATATTTTAGTTGAGCTGTTTGTAGAGTGGAATGGCCACTCTAAATGACGCCTTTGTTTACTAGTATAAGGTTGGTTAACGCCATATGTTTTAGGTCACCATGACACACAGCCGAGTAGCCATGTGCCCAGTGGTCTATCTCTAAGAGACATGACCGTGAAATAAGCACCTTGAAATTCTGCTTCACAGTGCTGCCTCAGAGGCCCTCTTATTTCTGAATATTTTTTTTTTCTTCAGGTAAATCATGTAACTAAATTAAAGCTCTTCATACCACTGCTCATACGTGCAATGCAATTATTTTAGGTGGTTCTTATTCACAGATCAGTACTTTAGGATATGATACCTTGCAATTATTACATAATGTTAGCTAGTGTACTGTAAATATATTTTTACTTGTGTGTATGTATTCATTTCGTAATGTTGTTTCCCTTTATAAAGAATGCATTTGTTTTGTTTGCATTAATATGTATTATACTTCATTTTATATCCTAGAACTCTAGAGGAAAGATCCCAGAGGCTTTTTGGCACAAAAGGCAAATCTTTGGAAGCTCTGGATACCTCTTTGTTTGCAAAAAATCCCAAAGCAAAGGGAACAAGAAGGTAAAGTGATAAAATCTTCAGTTATTTTTCAGTGTGTAGTAATTTAGACAAAATAACTACATCTAAAGCAGAGCACTTTTTGTGTTTTGTTTTGCTCTGGTTATTTCACCCCTGTCCTTTTATTTTTATTTGTGTTCTCCAGGATATAGTTTTATTTTTTTTCCCTGTCTTTGTTTTCTTTGCTTACCTCCAACTATTATGAACAATGCACATTACTGCAGATGGCCTGTGATTGTAGACTAATATGTACTAGTAGGCACTGCAGTTTACATTCAAAGACAGACGTATATATTGTTTAATGGATTTGTTTTATTTGAAAAATGTATTTATATATTCTGCAGAGACACTGAGAAGAACAAGGACATTGCATTTCTTGAAGCTCAGGTTTATGAATATATTGAAATCCTAGGGGTAAGTTAATAAACCATAACCCTTCTTTACTATTTCTTATCTCTTTAAGCATTTATATTTCTCTGCGTGACTTTTCCTAAAGTTATAGAAGAATATTAACCTGTTACAGGGACCCTCTGAGCAACATAACCAGTACAGCTTGTAGTAGAGGTTATGTTACATAAGAGTCCATTAGTGTTTAAAAATGGCTTTAAATTAACAGAGGGTTTTCCTGAAATCCAGGAACTGCCCTGATTTTGACTGTAATGATTAAGGTTAAGTTGTCATGGTGCCAGGGGGGCTGGCTATGTTGTGTCTTCCAATGTTAAACCATTTTTGATATGGATTAATACACCAGTGGAATTAATATTATGTTTGAAGTATTATTTAATAGTGCAGAGTGCATACTAGCAGCCAATGAATTCTGTGATTTATAGATTAGTTTCCAACTACCTACTGTGCATGAAACATGAAATGCTCATTTGAATTTTCTGTTCCTGCTATGTGCACAAACTGTTGAAATCTTTTTGGAAGTCTTGTGAGTTTGAAGTTTATGATTTGAAGAATCCTGTTTTATGAACGGTTATATACTTCTCATTGACAGGTTTTTCAGGCAGGTGGCAGGCTTTCTGTTCTTACATGGTATACCTTTCTATCACTGCCTCCCAGTGCACATGTTTCTTGTTTTGGGCATGGCAAAATACATAGAATACAGTCTTACAACTCAGTCTTTTGAGCTGGTTACAGAAAATACAAAGACCATTGAAGTGTCTTACCATTTGACCTTCACTTGTCGTTTTTTTTTAAATGTGCAAACATGTACAAAAGAACACTGTGAACATTATCAATACTATAATCCCTTATGTTATATTTCTATTTCTTCTGCTTTTAGGAGCAAAGACACTTGACCCATGAGAATGTACAGCGCAAACAGGCCCGTACAGGGGAGGAAAGAGAGGAGGAGGAAGAAGAACAAATTAGTGAGAGTGAGAGTGATGATGAGGATAATGAGATAATTTACAATCCCAAAAACCTACCTCTTGGTTGGGATGGCAAGGTGAGTTGTCCGTATGCCGCATCTGTCAGTTGTGTTTATCCCGCAAAATCATCTGTAATATAAGAGAAAAAAATTATGTGCTGTGAGATCTCTCACTATCTTTTTGTGTTTTGCAGCCTATTCCATACTGGCTGTACAAACTGCATGGCCTGAATATCAATTACAACTGTGAGATTTGTGGAAACTACACATACCGGGGACCCAAGGCCTTTCAACGTCATTTTGCGGTGAGCTGCCTACTCTTTCTATATTGTTACAATCAATTCTGTTTGTTGCCCATGTTAGTAGTGAGCCAGAGGTCCCATAGCCTATCAAAGATGGTAGTCATGCATCTGACTTGTGCAGACAAATTATCCATTAAAAATGTATTTTATTTTGATCGAAGGTAGGTCAGTTTTTTAGCCAGTATTGCGCCATAGCTTGTCTGGCAGCTAAAGTCAATTTATGTAAGGGTTTCTGTTCAGGTTTGGGCTAGTCGTCCAAGGATCTGGATAGCAGGAAGATCCAGGGGTCAAGATTAACTTGGATAATAGATTGCCCACCCTTCCCTAAAAACCTTGGGCTTCCGGACACTCCCACCACATGTGGACATAGGTACCCTCTCTGGCCACATCACCTCCAGCAAAGATCATCTGGGGTCTTGTGCATATGAAAGAGTTTGATGGAGCATAGTCTTAGAAGACTGCTAGATCACTTTCCTTTTAATGCTACAATCACACAGGAGAGGGTGCTTACAGAGTGCTCTGTACTGTGTAAACTGGGATTTCTTCTTTTGTCAATAGAGAGAATCCCTCTAATTTAGGAGTATGGTAAGAGTTAATATTTAAGCGTTAGAGAAAGTGTAGGGTTAAATGGCTACCTCATTGTTTGAATTTCTACCTGTGGCCCTCCTCAGCTGCTAGTAGCTCATTGACTCTCAGCTGACAGATCCCAAATGAAAAGTTCAAACCATTGTTAACCCCTTAAGGACACATGACATGATTCCCTTTTATTCCAGAAGTTTGGTCCTTAACCCCTTAAGGACCAAACATCTGGAATAAAAGGGAATCATGACATGTCATGTGTCCTTAAGGGGTTAAACGGTTTGACTCTTTAGTGTGAGCGGGCACCTTAACCACTACAGAGCTGTAGTGGTTATGATGCTTGGTGTGTTCTTTTGAAAGGTAAAAAGTCTAATGCATTTCTAACCTTAGAAATCTAACCTTATTTCTAACCTTAGAAATTTCATTTAATGCTGATTATATGGTCTAATTATTTCATGCAAACAGCTTGGGTATTGCAAAATGTGAATAGATAGTTTATTAATGGATCTAAAAAACTGAACCTCCGTGCCATATAGTTTGGTTCTCCTGATGGCACCCCTGGATACACATTCTAATCTTCATTAGAAAGCAGTAGGTGTGGTCATAGTTAAAACCGAGTAGCACAAGAAGGTACTGTACAAAAGCTAACCAGAAAAAGTTATGGACTCTAGGTTATGGTTGTGTGTTTATATACGATTTGTTGTGTTTTTGTGCTAGGCAGTTAAAGCCAGGTGAGTTATCTCAATTGCCATAAAATCACAATATCATCCATGACGATACAGGAGGGGCGGTGTTATATTACATCCCTCTGCCCATAACACCCAGTGTCTGACAGAGTATACTTGCCCATTGGATTTTGACTCCCGTGCTGCTTGGCCATGCTACCAAATAAAGGTTGAAGGAGCAGCAAGTGACGGGTGAAGGAGTAGGGACTCAAAAGGTTGTATTGGCATCGAAATAAAAGTGGAAGAAACAGTGGATGGTCTGGGTGACAAAAGTAGGAAATGTGTAGAGTGAAAAAGATAGGGGGGGAAAGGCTCATGGGTAGAGTGATTAGTGAGTGAGAGGGGACATGGGCAGACAGAAGTGGGCTGGAAAAGGGACATGGCAGAGACACAAGTTGTGGAAAGGGGACAGGGCAGCAAGACACAAGTGGGGTAAAAGAGGTGCATGGGCAAAGAGACCCAAGTCTTGCTATCACACACAAGGCTCTTTCCTATTCATTTATAAAGTTAATAAAATTGCACATAAAATATCTGTTCTGGTGATATTTCCTTTCCGAGCAAAAATCATTAAACTAGTAAACAGATGTTACTTGTATGAAAATGTATGAATTAAAAAAATCTTACTGAATTGCGTATTTTTCTGAAAAAAACGATATATTTGTTACCTTATATCATACAGTCCTATAGGTAGTTTGATCCCCTCTCCTTTTTCCTGGGATAAAACGGTCGATTAGCTATCCTGTTTGTATCTCTGAAATTACTCTATTTGCTGTAAATCTTCCACTTCTTCAGGAAGCAGTCCTGGCTCTCATTGAATGCACTTGGTATGTCTCACAAACTCTTGCCAAGAGTGAAGATACAGCATATGTGTAGTACATTATTACACCAAATTGCCTCACTGATGTTATTTCTTGAAGATGGCAAAATTATAGAAAGCTATAATGACAATGTTAGTAAATTTACAGTTTTCTCAAAGTTTTTAGGCTATTCCACTAAAGTTTGGAATAGCAGTGTTTATCTGGTTTCCTTGTACGAGTCTTTTCAAGCTATATGTATCTTATTCCCTTTTGGTATACCACAGCCAACTGTTTCCACAAATGATTTACTGCTGCAACATTTGCTAGTGTGTATATTATGACAGAGTATATTGATTCACATTTTGAGGGTCTATCTTCCTAGTTTTATTGCTCTAGCAGCCCTTGCTTTTTCATCTTTTGAGTGACTAAAGTAAGTTTTATAGACGAGATAACTTAAGGTGTGTCTGTTTTACATAATAAGTTAACACTTTTTCATCTCTCTCCTCATTTAGGAGTGGCGTCATGCTCATGGCATGAGGTGTCTCGGGATTCCAAACACTGCTCACTTTGCTAATGTCACACAGATTGAAGATGCAGTTTCCTGTAAGTTTCTATTTTATGTATCAACAATTGTTGTTGTGCCACTTGTTTCACTCAGAAATATTGTGAAAATGACATCCAGGTCCAAAGTTTGTCCCTCTAGATTTCCAAAATGTCACTTCCTTCACTGGATTAATGGGGATGTCAGTGAAGCGAGACTTAGCTGAGTTTGGGAGCACTTGGGCATCTCAGAGGGTAGATGGGACTCCCAACTATACACAGAATTAATATTTTCCACTCTGAAATCTAGTTCCAAGCTGGCTTATGACGTTAAAGGAGGTGGTGTTGAGTGCATTTTGTCTATATGACAACAGTTCATGATGAAACACTACGCATACAGACTCCGAGAACGATCTCCACTTTCAACCTCCAGTATCACTATAAGAGACTCATTTTAATGCAGCTGCCAAACTGAGCAGTTGTCCTACAAACCTTGTTGTACTCCTTTACAAGAAGGTTACAAAAAGAAGCACTCGAGCACCTTTTATAAAGAGATCACAAAGATGACCTGGGGAGAAACAGCCTATTTTTTGTTCCAGACTAATTTGTAGCACACCTTTACGGAGGCTATGAATGCTACTCTTTAATCAGTTCATTCTCTCGCTCTTGTGGCTAGTCCTCAGACATGGAACCAGATATGTAAACAAGTTTCTTCAGTGTTTGGGGAATGATGGGTTCCTCCTCGTAAAGTATTGCTTCTGAGGATTTTGATACATTTTCTAAGTAGAAATTGCTCAGATTGACTGGTAGAGCAGCGGAGAGTAGTCTGAGAGATCTAGAAAGTGTTGGGAATGAGGATCTAAGACCCAGTTATCTGGGTAAAAAAAAAATCTTCCCCTGGGAATAAGATTTCAGCTTTTGTTTTCCATTTGGGAAGAATGTCATCAACTCCTAGAAGTAGCACACCATTTTTGTTGTTTTTCTTTGAGGCATATGGGTAGTACAGTACAGAGTAAAAGGCATGTTGTAGAATGTAACAGACATTATTGGCATAGTGGGGATTACTTCTAGATTAGCCAGCCTCATTTTTTAAAGTAAAATAAAAGTATCAAGCTTGTCAAACATGTCTTAATGCATTAAATATTTAGTTTTAGAGATGCTACAAGACTTGATGAGTACTATATGAGCATTAACTTAAAGTACATCCTAGTTTAATCAAGGAGAAGAAAACCACTGAACATGTTATCCCTGCCCCATCCTGACAGCTTCAAAAATATATGTAAAATGTGAAGACTATAAAGGACAAGGCAAACAAGAATAAATTAGAGCAAAATGGCTCCCACTTGTAGCATGTAGAAATTGAAAGCTTTAGGTATTGGGCCTAGGTAAAACAAGGAGTCATCTGATATTCAAATCCGACTCACATACTTGGGAACCATGATGAGTATACTGGAGGATAGCCTAGTGCAGTAATATAGCAAAACCTAGGCACCTCTCTCGCCCTGAGCTAATGTGAAGGCCGGCATCTCTAGACAACGGACCTGGTTGCTCTGAGTCAAAGTCCTTTCCATTTCTGGAGCAGCAAGATGGCTGACGTCCTTCTGCTGGTGTGGCAATGCGTCTGGTTTATAAACCTTTAGGCCTTCAGCCCAGGAGTGTGATCGGTATAGGGAACAAGCGCTTCAGCGATTATTTGGACCAGATGGGGCTTCCTCTCGCCTCGCTGCTCTGGTTGCGGTAAATTTTCCAGGGGCAAATGCGGTGGTCTGGCTGCACACTTCTCCAGCTTCATCCTAAAGAGGTTGAAGATTTCCTTCAGTCTCACTAGGATGTTTACACTGGAGTTGTGCTGAGCCATCTGGCCTTCCTTGTGTTCTCCATCTTGGTGAGTTTGACTGCTGGTACTGGCGGTGAGTGAGAGTATGCTAGACAGCTCAGTGGTTGGCCGGGATAACCCGCAGCTTAGGCACTGCCATCCATTGCCAAAGCTGGAGAATAGTCTCTTGGTAAATGTAGATTATCAACAGATTTTACTGAGATTAATTTCCTGAAGAGGCTGCACCAATTTTTTATTTTTTTTAATTTTTTTAAATATAGTTTTTAATGTAGGTTTTTACATTAGAATAACAGAATAGAACAAGATTATTCTCACATGACCCTTAGGCAATAAAGACAAAATGTTTGTTCTATTGAACTGTAAAATATACAGTTCTGAGTGGGCGCTTACGTACACGTGAAAGCTTACCCTCCTCATCACCTGGGGCTTCGGGTGTGTTTATCATGTGTATAGAGATTAAATGCTCACTCAATTTTATCTATATTGCCTGTTTGGAACATCCTGTGTTTTACCCACTTCATTTTGGAAATGCAAATCAGAATCTCCATAATAAGGAAGTTTAATTTTCCTGTAACTTTGTCCATAATAACTGTACAGATTCAAAGCAGATTCATATTTTGCAAACTGCTGGCTTTCTCAGACTAGAAAACTTGCATCAATTTGGTAATACAATTCAATACATTGTAACACACGTTTCTCTATCTGCTGTGGCTTATTTTGTCAGTAACTCTTGCCAATATCATTTTTCAATTCTTGAGAGATAAATATAAATATATATATATATATATATATATATATATATATATATATATATATATATATCTCTATCTATCTCTATATCTCAATTAGCCTGCCCTTAGGTGGGTCCCCACTAAGTTCTCAAGCTGGTTTTAGCTCGTTTTATGCCATTACAGAGAGAACCAGGCTATTTGTTTCTCTGACTGATTCCACCCAAAAGGTAAGAACAGATCCTAAATACTGTCCGACGCTCTCTTCATGAGAGCTACATCAACCCCAGACTATCGTTTCAACCTTGTTAGGCAACATCAGTGAGGTATAGCCAATATCTCTCTAGGCACCGGGAGCAAGGTTTACCCTTTAAACTTAAGGAGAGCAAAAAACAAGTATCAAGAGAGTGCTGAGAATGGACAACAGCTCAATTAGCCTGCCCTTCTTTGGGTCCCCGCTCAGTTCTCAAGCTGGTTTTAGCTCATCTTGTGCCATTAGAGGCTAATTGAACTGTTGTCCGTTCTCACCTCTCTTGCTACCTGTTTTTTTCTTTCCTTAAGTTTAAAGGGTAATCCAGACGTGGACCCCTTGCTCACGGTGCCTAGTGGGATATTGGCTATACCTCACCGATACCTTACAAGGTTGGAATGATTGTCTGGGGTTGCTGTATCTCTCGTGCAGAGTGAACTTGCTGGCATTTCAGATCTGGAATTAAATTTCCTAATTTTCTACCATCTTGAGCTCTGTGTTCTTGTAGGACTGGCACCAATAACCTCCATTTATTATAACTACTACAATCAGTTGTAGTGCGTTTGGTTCTTGTAGTTTCCCTATAGTGTCTGTGTATCTTTATTATTTTGAACGCTGTATGCTGATCTTTAATTTGCATCATAACCATACATGTGACCTCTGATATTTTATTATTACTTACAATGTTCCAGCAAGTTCCGTAGCTGTGTGGGAAATATGGGTGTTTAATACACATTCTTTGTAAAAGTTTTCACTAATAATTGATACATTGAAGAATTTTAAGTGACAGATGGGTGAGCCTATTGGCAATTAGTTTGTAGGCTGAACTGGGGGAGGGAGAAAATATCTAGCTCTCCAGACAAAATATTTCTATAGCCACATCTATTGAAAAAACACAAAGCAATTAATTTTCTGGTAGTAAGAATGGCATCCTACAGGACACAGACTGCTAGCCTGTGACACCAGTCATGGGAGAATCGTAAGATAGGAGAAACATTACAGTTGTTGTGCAGGTGTGAAACCAGGATCTATAGGCAGTTACATTCTCGCCCAGACAGAATGTTTTTAATAAAAGCTGCATTATTTTTCCTCTGCTTTCTAGTGTGGTCCAAACTTAAGCTCCAGAAGGCATCTGAACGGTGGCAGCCAGATACAGAGGTAAGCAAATTCTCTAACAGTAGCTTTTATGTTAACAGTTGCTTTTCAAGTATATCACTAGAAACACAAGAGACTCTAATCAAAAAATTTATTTGCGGTGTAGTTTGATGCTCTAAATTACATCCAAATCAATCTCTCTCTGCTTTCTCTATTCCTTTTTATTTTGTTTGTTTGGTTTGGGTTCGGAGGGCAGGAATTGGTCTTTCTTTCTCTCTCGCGCATGCTCATTGTGATGCATTATGTTTTGTTCATCTGCTTAATAAAGCTTTGATTATACTATCGGGTATTAAATGTCAGATCCTAAGCTACTATCTAGGTCTAAATATTAGTTGCCACAATAAATGTGAATAGTTTTCTCTTTTCTTTTTTCTTCAGATTAGTGTTTTGTTTTTGTGTGTGTGTGTGTGTGTGTGTGTGTGTGTGTAGATATATAGATATAGATAGAGATATAGATAGATAGATATATAGATATAGAGAGAGATTAAATATATGTAACAAATATTTAAAAAGGATTAATTCAAGTGTATCATGTTCCTTTAAGAAACCACACACCCTTCCGTCCTGACATGCGCATACACACACTTACAAAAATATAATACTAAGACACACAAAATAATCCATTCTTTCACAGACATATACTCTGAGTTCTTCACCAAACTGTATTATCTGTAATTTACCATGGTATTGCAAATTTAAAGGCCAAATAGCCAAATTGTAAGTATCAAGTACATTCATTATTTTATCCTAAAATAAGCAGTCCCATAGTGTTCTATACAAAAGAATACATAAATATTTAAGTTACCCTAAACCCTTCCTTTTCATAAACTGCCAGCCAAATAATGCTCCTATTCCTGTGGTCTTCTTTGACTGCTTTTACCTTATGGTGTGGATGGAGAGCGTGTTTCTGTTGAGTTATAGTGGAAGAAGCAGTATTTCATACCTACTTCAAGATGTCTTCCTTGCTTTCTTATTGCCCTTTGCAAGTAGTCAGAATATTAGATTATATAAATACTGCATTCTTAAACAATTTATATTGTCTTGAGGAAGCAGAAACTGTTGGTAAACTGTCAGTAAAGTTTTTGGGGGAAAAATGATAGTGCCGATATTCACAAATAAATTAGAGCTATAACATGCTCTAAAGTACTGAACAAAATTTACAGGAAGAAAGCAATCAGGAGGGAATGCTTATGGTTGCAAAATCCCATAGTCTAGCATAATTTTGTGTGATTACATAGAAAAATGAGGAAGCTGTGATGTTCTCACTTGGAAACTTGAGTAGTTTGTAGCCAAACTCTGCATAGGTGTTTAAAACCAAGGCGCTTTAAATACAACTAAGTGCAGGTGACAAATATAGCAGCTACCACACAAATGTTATTTTCTCTCAATCATTACACAATTACATGCAAAAAGGATAGAAGTGCACACTAAGTAACAATACATCACCACTAGCTTATATAGTGAAGTACTGAGAAAATTAACACTTACCCTTTTAGGGTTTAAAAAAAACCAGTAGGATGATATGGAAAAGTGAAACTCATATAGTCTAATACATTTGGGTAAAGAAAATGGTGTAAAATCTAAATTAAGCACACTCACATGGACAAGAGCCAGTTAAGATATGCTCAAATCTTATCCACTTGTGTGTGTGCTTAGGTGACACATCCCCTCTTCTTTTCTTTAACATGGGTATCCTCACAAACAGGGAAAAAATAAGGAGGAAGGGGGGGGAGAAAGAAACAACAAGGCTCATGGAGTAATAAGTTCAAATAAATTGAAATAAGTGAAATGTACAAATGGCTTCTCGCCTTTATAAGAGCCTAAGCCTGACTCTAGATGCAATAGCCTTTAAGGGGGCTGCCAACCTTCTTTCAACAGCAACTGTGGAAGATGATCCACTGAACTATTAGTATATGCCAAATTGAAATTAATCGAAAATTGCATTAACAATACATTTTTAAAAACTGAAATAAGCATATACAAGAAAAAAAGTCTTTATGGTCTTCACGCTTCACGGTGTCCAGTACAGCTTTCTCAATTGGTAATTTGTATTTTGCATCTATCAAAATTGCAAATTTGTTTTAACTACCACTCTTAAATTTAGACGGCATACAATTTATATATAATTATTTCCAAATGTCCTTGCACTGCAACTTAATAATTTCTATGTAATTGCTTACTGGGTGCTGAGCAACACTCCATCCATCTGCAAAATATTGGGCCACACTCTGGGATTTCCCAAAAATATTTCTATTTATTGTATTACAACTCCTTAAATCAACATTTCAGTTCCAATATGGAACTTTCTTTGGACATAAATACATGTTTTGTCATTGCTCCTCCTCTTTCAAGGATAACTGAATTATTAACATTTATGCAAATTTACACTAGTAAAAGACTTTGTAAATCTTCATGTCTTTAGGGTAATCGCTACTAACCTTATCATTTTCTTGTATGCTACAGGAAGAATATGAAGACTCCAGTGGGAACGTAGTTAACAAGAAGACTTACGAAGATCTGAAACGCCAAGGCCTTCTGTAGTGCCTCTTCAGGAGTTCCCTGGATGTAGATTTGTTTTTGACAGACTTTTCCATATAAAAGATTCAATCCCTGACTCTAACTGTAGATACCTGGTGACGTCTATGGGTCCTTATTTGGATTTTTGTTATTTTTATTAATTAAATCTTACAAATTAACAATGTTGTCAGTGACACTTCTTATATGTAATTATAACTCCATCAAAGATAGATTGTTACACATTAGTCTGCTACCAAGAGACTTTTAGTCAAACTATTAGTCTACTTGTCATTATTATTTTATCAGACACACCCGACCAATCTCCAAGATTTGACAAGCAAAATGTCAGCCACAACCAAAATGTCATTTTAATTTTGTTTAGTTTTTTTTGTCCAATTAAGAGTTAAAGATGCTTCCATCATAACTTCCAAAAAGATAATTTACAGAACAATGTACCGATATAATGTAAAATGTTTTATATACAATTGGGTGCATTAAAATGGTGGAATTTGTATTCATTGTGTCACAAGCTCTGGTAATTAATTAGATCTTTAAAGATGTGTGCTATTAGCGTGTCATTAACCATATTCTATTTGCATATACCGTGTGGTTTTATTTTTTGTTTTTTTTTTAATGTACGTTTTTGTTTTTTTTATGTACATCTATTTTTCTTCTATTGTGTCCATGCATATTTGTGTGTGTGTATATAAGTTTATATTAACCATTGGCTATTTTGATGGCCAGTTAATGCTTCAAACCTTGTAGTTCACTGGCAGAATATCATTCATCTTGTATGATCTGAAAGTCCAAAAGCATTTTATGTAATTCAGAGATTCCATCATCCTACATGAGTCCTGTAGAGAATTGCAGCCTTGATACGCAGCAGGAAAGAGAAATACCCTTTCACTCCTTCGATCCCTCTTCTCTGCAAGTATGCTTATGTCGGCTATGAGCGAGAAAAGGGATCTCGGGTCTTTGATGGTGTTAAGAACTCAGGAAGTGCTCCGAGTGCTGAATTATTTATTTTTTAAAGTGATCTTTTCTATTTCACTGCCACAACAGCTAAAATATGGACTGACTTGTTGAGAAAAAGGGAGCGTTTTTTTTTTTTTTTTTTAATATATATAATTTTTTAACAAAGTTACAAATTTATGATATGCTTGATTCAATTTAGCATCTGTGTGGATGCTACGGTGGGATAGCAGGCTTCCAATGAAGACCAATTCTAACAAGATTTAGAACATACATCCTCATTTTATGAACATTTGTAATTCTGTATGACCAACCATGTAATACTATTCTAGTGAATAGGGAGTGGCCTGTATTAATAAGAAAGCTCTGCTCTTATAAGGCTCTGTGTAATTTTAATTGCTTTTACATGTACCCTGTGCCCTTAACAGGTACTACTCTCAGCCATTAGACATTTCTCTTCTCACTTTCTTTGCAGTAGAGGCATACCCATATAGGTTACTTGGCACCCGGTACAAAACTGTCTTAGCAGTGTCACATTAAGGTGATTTGAAAAGGGTATTCAAAATGGGAAGACGTGAAAAACTATAAAATTATACTGCTTTTTTGTGTGTGTGGGAGTGTATCTGTCATGTAAATACCTTACATACTTAGGTTGCATAATATAGATTAAATATAAACACAATTTTTCTGCTATTGATCGAAATGAAGGCACATTTTGAAGCAAGGTCAAATTCCATGTGATTAAATAGGAAAGTGCTTGCCTACAGGTGTCAATTGGTTAAAACATAACATTTAGTAAATTTGTTTTAAAACTTGCCGTTGATAATCAGCAAATAAATAAAAAATTATTACATTCTAAAGCTATTGATAGTTTAGAACAAAGGACAAAAAGAAAAATGTATGCATAAAATAAAGACTATTGTAGAATAATCCTAATTATTACTGAGATTACAGCATGAGTCCAAGTATAAGTAAGTAATAGTGTACATTCAGAAATGCCAGTGAAAATGAAGCTGGCAATTATAAGAGACACTAAATAACAATAGAGTAAAATATAACCACTAACTATAGTTAAGTATACTATTGTATCAATGTCCCTTGAAGGGAACTATCAGTGTAACTGTGCTAGGTTATACACTCTGTAGGAGAGGAACTCAGCCTGAAAATCTCTTGTCAGATACAAAAATCTGATTGTTCAATGCATGACTCTTTTCCCAAATAGTGCTGTTCACCGATAATACTCTGAGTTGCTAAACTGTTCCTTCAAGGGCACCTAATCTGTATAAGAAATGGTCTGCTAGTCTAAGGTAAGCACTAATATGGGAAAAAGAAAATCATGCAAATGCCTTGGCTATCTCTTGTAGAGGACATAGTGTCTAAGATCTAATGGGGGAAAAAAAAATCATTATAGAGTATAGTGCATTTTGCTCTTTACTCTAAAATCAGAATCTGATTTTTGTTGGGAACAATGTGCTGCTGTTGTGCAATATTGCCTATTATTTAAGTGGATATTATGTGTTAAATAAAAAAAAATATATCTCTATAGTATTTAATAAGACCACACCCCTCTTAATAGAGGATTCGATCTTTCATTCTGTCAACTATACCTTTCTTAAAGTGTAAATTGGTGACCTTGTACAATCATGTTAATGAACAAGTTACCAGAGAACTGTTCATACTGATGCTGTGTATATTGGTATAATAAGAAAAATCAGAAGATATGATGGTGCCGCCGAGAACCCAATAAGGGGAATAAAATCACCCAATTTGCAATGTGATGTTGTTAATTGGTATGTCTTATCGCCTTTGAAAAGCCTTTATTCCCTAAATGGAAAATTTTATCATTATTTAGCAATAATGTTAGACTTACTGTTTATATTGTTAGTTATGTATCCACCCCCTCATCTTTATGTTGCACAATCAACTCTCTCCTTCCTTGCCTATACCCAGTCTATTATTATTAACCAACTCTTACATTTTATTTACAGTTGCCATATCCTCTCTTGAGACGAAAATCCAGCAATAATGCCCCTTGACTTCATAAGCAGCATTTGTTAATATGACTTGCTTTGTAAATGCTCAGAATAGTCAATTGTGACTGTATTGAAATATTTACTTTCATATATCTGCAAAAGCATTGTAGGTTCTTTATAAGGGACATCAAAGTCACCTGTGGGAAATTTCCTTCCGTCATTTCCTGAGTCAGGCGGCTGTGTACCACTAACAGAAAACATCCTTTTCCTCTTTAACAAAGGAGGGCGTATTTTCCAAATTCTAGTATGAATGTGCACACCAGCTCTGATTATTTTAGCTTAAAATTTACATTCCATGACAATTCAGTTGTTTTTTGAGGGGGAAGGGGTTTCTTTCTTATGATCAATATATGGATCATATACATTTGGTTCAGGAAAAATAGCACATGCTATTTTGTGTCTTGCTCAGAAACTGGAGACTGGTTCTTGGTTATTGTCTGAATGTTCCTATATCGAGATACTATTTTTTTTACGTACATTTAAAAGAAGTTACACTCTATATTATACACTCTAGGTACAAGTGTCACAATGCTCCCAGGCTCTCACTACCAAATGGGACTCTATCGGTCGTACCTGCTGTGGACAATAAGGTTAACCCTATCCCACTTCCCCAACTGCACTTAACACTTCCAACGAGGAGTTCATAGCTCTGGAAAGCAGCATGAAAAATAGGGACGATACTCCTCTCCCTCTCCAGGTTCATCCCAAAACCCCAGGTACTGGTAATCCCTCGAGTAATATCAGTGCGCAAAGCACATCACAACAAGTCCAGACTAGGAACACCTATACAATCAAAAACCCAACCACCAATCATACTCGCATGTTGTCCCTTCTCTGACATACAAAAAGAGTAGTAGTTAAGCAAGGAAGCATACCTACATACAGGTTGAGCCACAACTGGATATTTTACTTCACATAAGATATGTATAGGATCAATTATATGTTTTAAAGTAGAAATAATAAAATTATGATAAATGATCGATTTAAAACTTCTTTCATAGGGTCTCTGCCTTCATAAAGGGATCAGGCAGGCAGGCAGAAAACATCTGTCACCATCTAATACTACTCTGTCATTAGTAATGGACTGTCATGAATTTCCGAATGTACCTTTAACCCACCCCCCTTTTTAATTTCTGTACCCCCTCCTTATCTTGACATGCCAATAAACGTCAAGTTGGAAATAAAAAAAAGATGTGGCCCTGAAAAAATTACTTCTAAAACTGAGATTTTTCACAGGGTCAATAAATGGAAGAGTACTAAACGTGGGTAGAAAACTCAAACCCTAATGAGTGGAGAAAATGGTAAGGGTAAATGGAATAAAAAGAATAATAAAAAGAACCTATAGATAAAATTGACAAATAGAGGATCTCAACTAGTAGAATAAGCCCCCATAAAGGCTTGAAAAAAATAAATAAATAGATTTAGATACTAAGCCCTAAGCATACCAGGAGATCTACTATTAAATCTAAGGTGAAAAACAATTGTACCGCACAAAGAATTATGAGTGTAGAGAGAAATAAAATGTCTGGAGTGGTGTATGATAGTATATAAGGAATGAAAAAGTTGGAGGAGTGAACAGTCTATTTGTGGGAAGTATAAGAAAAAAAGGAATAAATGGGTAAAAACCATAAATGAAAAGTAAAAATGTAGATAAGTAGATATAGAATGCAAATGAAGTAAGACTGTGGGCTAAAAAGCCAGTGAAACAGGGGAGGCTAGTGTTGAAGCAGCAGAGTAACTAAAATAGGTGGAAAAACGAAGGGAGATATAAAGAGAAAAGTGCAACCAGAAATAAATAGGAGAGGGAATAGTATACTAAATAGTGAATAAATAAAGCACTAGCAGCAAAAATAGTAACAATAAAACAGATAACCTGACCTTAACATGCAATTAAAGTGCACACAAAAAAGCATTTGTTGCTATTTTTTTGGGGCTTTACAATTATCGGTTTCAAACTGGACTTCAATTGATATATGTGCTGCTAAGTTCATATTGGACCTATTAATATTTTTAGTATTCCACTACAAATAACACTGCTTTTTGTGTGCACTTTTATTGCATGTTAAGGTCAGGATATCTGTTTTATTGTTACTATTTTTGCTGCTAGTGCTTTATTTATTCACTATTTAGTGAATGGCCATGTCGTGACCATGTTATGGGATATAAGTCACCCTCCTGGTCATCACAGGAGGGTGGATTTGGTTTAAGATATATTTTTGGCTCCTGGCTTTGGAGGGGGGCGGAGCCTTGGAAAGTGGTTATGGTTAATATGTTAGATTGGTTTAAAGTTTAGTTTATTATTCGTATGGTTATTGTTTAATTGGAATCATGAAATCCATAATAAAGGTTCACGGCCATTCTCCAAGGTGTATTATTAAAGTTATTGAATAAAATATTTTGATGAAAATGTTTGCTTGTGTTTATTTATTTATGTATCACTATGGTTGCAACATTCAGACCTCATGTAATCTAAGGGTGTTAATCGATTATACACATAGACAGTAAAGGAACAGGGACTCTGAAACTGTAGGACTATAAGCTTCCTAGAGGGGACATCTGGAATAGTAATAACTAATGGCAGCTGGTCACATTTGTGGGCGTGAGCATTCTAGAACTTTGGTCAGGGTACTGGAAAATACAACAGTAGTCTGGATGCATACGTGAATTTCAGGGACTAGTGGGAAGGTCTAGCAAGTGACACAAGTACCTGTCTAAATTATGAGGAAAAATACAATAGGAAGCAACCTTATAAAGGAAGACATATAATCAGAATATATGGTTGTCAGATACAGCAATGTGCTAGAAAGGAGCATATGTAAACTAATTTGTCTGAAAATGGACCAACTTCCACCAACTAATGAAAGAAAACATACATTCAGGATGAAGACAATATATATTTTATTGCATCCCATATAATGCCTTCAAGTAAATGGGTCAACTCCTATCGGAGATGTCCATTTAAATTAACTGTATTGGTTTATTTCGGTTTGTCAAAATAAGATTTTCAATGAACTCTTCTCAAAACATCCCGCTCTTTAGAATGTGGTTGTGCTCAACAAATAATTTAATTGTAATGTCTATTATCACTTGCTTCACGCTAGATGTTTTTAACCCCTTAAGGACCAAACTTCTGGAATAAAAGGGAATCATGACATTTCACACATGTCATGTGTCCTTAATGGGGTTAAAGATAGTACTCCAGGAAGCCATGGATGTTAGGTGCAATGTGCAGGTAAGATTTTAGCTAGACATGGTGGGTTTTTGTTTCGGTTTATTTCCTTCACCAGCATGGAGTGTCCCTTTAACTATAATGGTGTATGACTTTGTTCTACTGTAAGTTACCACAGAGACAATTCTCTTTTGGATACTTACCTCATTACTTGTACTGCACAAAGACCTGCAGCTTTTATTTTGGAGGCTACAGGGACCTCTTAATTTTTTCCAACACATGATTCATCTGCTGAAAAGAGCAGTCATTGTTTACATCAAGTTAACCTGCATCATTTAGCAGCGCCTAATTTATATATTTTTACATATTTAAAATATACTATACAAGATCTTTCCTCATTATATATTAACAAATATCACCTCACCAGTGCACCCAGATTCTATCTCCTTGAAGCAATCTTATATACTCAGAGATGCTCAAACAGGGCTGCCATCAGGGGGGTACAATGGTACAATCTATGCACATGTAACTGGTTTGGGTCAATAATGAGTTGATTATTCAACCATTTTATTTTTTTTTTAGTCTGGTGACAATTTATTTGACTGCCTCTATGTGAAACACAGGGCCATCTGCTACAATGACTAACATGGTGTGAGGACAAGTCTCTGTCGTCCTCCTTGCACAGTGCTCAAGGATGGGAAGTGATATTACATGCCCTGCTCACCTCGCACACAGAATGGTGGCTGGTGTCACAGGAATGTAACACCCGTGTCTGTAAGGAGATTGCAGCAGGGGAGTAGAGGGCTAGGGTCAGGGTAAGGTGTGGCAGGTTCCCTATAACCAATGCTTGATCT